GCATTTTCTTTAACTAAGCAACATTAAAGCACAAATGAAAAGCTACCAAGCAAGCACCCAACTCTTAAAAAAATGGGAGAGGCCTTTTCATATTTGGAAAAATTTTGTCATGGAAGAAGGTGGCTTCACTAGATTTTCAAATTTTTTGCCCTTCATGCCCTTTTTCCTCCCAAAATTATGTCAGAATGCAGCTTTTGTTACTGAAGAAAACCTTTGTCAGTTGCCAATCCATCAGTCATCAAGAAGTAGCTGTTTGAGGGTGGAGCTATTTGTACTTGTGGCCTGTGATGCATCATTTTTCTTTCTTAGAGTCTTAAGACTTAACTTTCAGCTACTTTTTATGGTCCTATGTTTCAGGCAACAGATTGCAGCTAATACTGCATTTTAATAACCTTAAAAGAGGAAGAAAGTGCGACAAACAATTTCTAATTAAAACAAATTAATAAACTGTTAATGGCAGGCTTATTTCTGTATATAAAGAATGAAATAGGGAAGAATTTAAAATGATGACAGAGAGGTGTTCAACAATAATAAATAAATCCTTAAGCCACTAATTTCCAGAAGCTGACAAATTATGTCAATGTAAAGACCACTTTATGCGGTACATTGACAATGTAAAGACCCAATTTCCTTTATTCATTTCTCAAGCAGTTGCTCTGTTGGCAGAGGTAAAATGGTGGGATACTGAGCCTCTGATATTCCGTGGAGATCAGTAGCATTTAGACCTTGTGGATACTTGTTCAATATCATTACAGCTGCTTTTTTTATTCTAACAAGGGACATTGATTAAGCTTTTTTTTAGCTATAGCTGCAGAAGGAACTAACTAGAGGAACAAGGGCCTTTCTGCAGAATCTGTAGACTGGCTGTTGAGATCTCCTTTGGGATGTATGTTTACTTTTTCACAAGGTGTTTTATTGCATCTTGAGCATTTACTAATTAGGAAGTTGGCTTGTTTGTAGAAGCGCTGCATGTATGCTCTAGTATAAATTTTTAACTTGGAAATAAAAATTAACTCAGTTAAGATGGTAGATAAGTCTGCACTAAAAGGCAGCCCAGAGGAGGCCAGAAAGTTTTCTCTTCTTTTCAGACCATGTGGCTAAGAAATGTGATGTCTTTTCCCAAGCAAGCTCTTATTAATATTTGTGTCACAGAGTAACTGCAGTTATCAAAAAACTTCTGGTAATGAGATTGAAATTTTCACTTTTGCTTCAAGGTTCCTAGTGAGAATCCACATAGGACTAGTTCTTCCCATGGAGTTGCTTTATGGAGCTGACTGTTTTACCCTTACGATCTCCCACTGATTTTATTTTATATTTTTTTATTGCTAGAATTTTTTGTTCTTCAAAATGACAAAAAAAAAAAAGGAACTGCTAAGTAATTATGATTTAGTTTTTTTATAGTCCTTGAGAGATATACATGGAAAAGAAAGAAAAACATAACTTTAAGTCATATTTGTATAGTTAACCATAGTTTAGGAACACTCTTAATTAAGTCATATTTTTGCAGATGTTTCAGGAATCTGGATATTTATTCTTTATTTTATCTTCTTAATACTGAAGAGGAAAATATAATCTGTACAAAAATTTTACTGGATTAAGAAAATTACTACATTTTCTGGTTATAATCTAAGTATGTAGCATTTTTTTCCATTCAGTAAAATGCAGAATTGGCTCATGTAGAAGCAGACATATACAAAGGTGAAATATTAACTAATGCAAATAATATTTCTACATAGACTCACATCAGTGAGCAGGTAACTGACTTAAATAGCTGCTCTGTTTTCTTTATCCTACTGTTTTAGAAATAATAAACATTCCCTTGATTAATCTGCTAGAGAGTATTGAGGTTCTGTAATAGGTGGTTCATTATGAAAATTGCCTCATAAGACTCAGTTAAAAAAAGATTTGAAGCAGTTTTTTCCTCTATTTCCTCCTATTCTTAAAAATAAATTTATTGCCTCCATTTAGGCAATAAAAATCATCTCATGTTGGTCATAACAATAAAATATTGTGGGTCTGGAAGTGTTGTCCTGTGAAAACTTGGTATAATGTAGTTCATAGAAGAAATATTAATGTATAGGAATATCTGTTGTTCTCAGAGATCCCTGGAAATTTTTGTAGAATTCATAATAAATATTAAAATGAGTCTTTACTGACAAAGTAAGAAAAAATTAAGCTGATACAACGTTATCCTCATAGTTTTAAGAGGTTTTGGTCCTGAAAAGGTACAGCAGTAAGAAAATTTACCCATGAACACAATGTATTTTTATCTAGAGAGAGAACTTTTTTGTGAAATATTTTTAAAACTTTGTTCTTTTTATAAGAGTGGTTGTGACAAAAACCTGGGCTCCTTATTCAAGATACTTCAATTAATGTCATAATTAATTAGATGGACTGCATTTATTTACTTTAATTTTTTTTTTTAAACCTGACTTAATCAAAAGTATCACATTACCATTTTTATTGCATTTTTACCTTACCCAGAAAAGATAACCAAGGCTTCCCCTGGAGTATCACATTCTCTCTCCATGCTACCACAGCTGGAGCCATCTAGCAAATTTCAGTTAGAATTGCTCTATTCTCGTGAGGGATCTCACAGAATCACTGTACACTCTTCTACTGTGAGTTTTTGCTTCATATCTAATAAGTTCAAGGCTTGCAGGTTTCTTGGGTTATGTTACAAGACCTTCTCTATAAAGGTCTGCTTGAGGGAAGTATGTGTAAGCAGAAAAGCAGGGAAATTGTATACTGGGTTTATCGATAGCTTGCTAGTCTTGAATCATCAAATATGTTTGCGCTTACAGTGCACACAAGAGTTTTTTGTACACATAGAAGATATATTTATGAAGCTGTCATTGATGTGACTGTTGCTCATCTGAAGAGATCTGTGGGCTGTTACCAACTCACGTGATTTTCTGATGCACAGTGTGGGCTAATGTGGCTGGGAGATGTTATTACTTGGAGTAGTTTTTGGAGGATGGATGAGGGTGAACATTGAGAGCACATTGTTAATTCCATGCAACTCTTGATTTCCCTTTTTGCCTAAAAGCTACAAATGTATTTCTAGATCTTTTTCCATTGATATGCCTGCCATGTACATGCTTATGAGAGAGATTCAGATCCATATAGTATGCATGTTTCTAAATTCAACTGGTGGTGTAAATAAAACCTGGTGCAAATAAAGCTCTTTCAGATAAACAAAAAGGCATGCCATTTAAGATAGTTTTGTTTAATTTTGCCTTTTTTCCCGTTTGTTAGGACAGTGCAAAAATAATGTTGTCTGCCCTCGTATGCTTGTACTACAAAATAATGTAATATCATTTGAGACTTGTTTGTTCATGTCCTTAGAAATAGATGCAAAACTTCAATAGTTGCTGGCTAGAGAAAGCTTTTCCTTTATTGATAAAGTATTTGTATATGAAATATCTCATAGCAGTTGCTGAGTTCCTAGTGATTTAAAGAAACAAGTAGTAAGCTACTTTTCATAAGATAAAGTCTTGGGATTTAAAAGTGTCTTGTACTTATTTTCTTGCTGTCTTAAATGACCCTGGAGATCTGAAAGACATTAACTTTATATATATGCAATGCTTCTAAGTAATGTACAGGTCAATATTAAAATTAAAAATGTGCTCAGTCTACTCTTTGAATGCTTTGTAGTTGCAAAATCATGATATGATGAAACCATTCAGAAGGAAACTTTATTCTAGAGTGGTGGTATGAGACTGCCTGTAGTTATGTACAACTCATCCAAGCTTCTTAGAGAGGGTGAGAGTAACAATCAGCAGCAACCCAATAGGTCTGGGTTTTTTTTTGCTTGAGAACTAGGCAAAAATTTCCCTGTAAGGTGAGAGGATTTAGAAGGGTAATCACTTTCTAGGCATTAGGCAAAGGAGGGTCTTTTTCAAATACTGCCATAGTGAATGACTGTTAGTTATGTAAGGGATCAAATAAAATGTCTTCAATGAAAAAAAGCACCTTTTAATGGGATGACATGTGGCAGTTTAATGAAGTGGTTTGCTGCTTAAATCTGCTCCCAAGTGTGTGTACTTTTCAGTATGACTTCATATTTAATTCAGGAGAGAAATTAACTGCAGTTGTAAATTTTATTTAGTATATTATAGACAACTTCATTATAATACTCTTTATTATATATTATAAAGTTGCTAATCAATAAGTTTTAAAAAACTTACTTTAATTTTTCTGATTTAGGAAGTACAGAGTCTTGTTTATTTAAATCTGTAGCTAGATCTTTCCTGCCTGTATTTTTGGGAAACCACTTACATCATTAAGTCTCTTTACTGTTTGATTAGCTTTCTGAAAAGTTCATGTATTTGATGGAGAAGTTTCTACCTCTCGCTTTTCAATGACTTATAAGAATCGCTGAGTGCTAAAGCTTTGACAAGTTTCACAGTTGCATTTAAATTTGTTTCTGTAAATCAAATATTTAAGATGCAGTAATACTTGATACCTTTTGTAAATCAATTTGTTATCTCAATAAAAATAACTATATAATTGTTAGTGATAGTGATAATGTCTTCATAAACAGTTGCAAAAATATATGTAGATGTACTTGGGATGGTATTTTGCAGAGTAAACCAAAAGATTTTAAAAGAGGTTTTTTTGTTTGATTTGTTTTTTTATAAAGATAATAAATACAAATGTTTTCCAGTCAGTGAATTTTACTTGCTTTTTCATTATGCTTCATGTAAAAGGAACCTCTGTTTCTGCTGAACTGTGGGGGAAAAAAATGTGGTTTAATTTTTATCCTAGGTTTATTACCAGAGCATGACAGTGGTCTTCAAGAATTAGCTTTTTTGTGCACTGTCAAGTTTTATATTCATCTTAGCTATATGCCTAATCCAGTTATTAAAAGTTAGATTGAAAATATTTGTGTAATAATTGCCATAACTTTTTGGGTTTCACCTTCATATCTCTAAACTGAACAGGTAAAATTTTAACAGTATGTCTGTTTATTTTTCCTTTTTTCTTTCCAATATTAGGCCAGTGACATCTGTGATCCAAACCCAGTCATGATGCTTATTCTATGTGTCCACCTATATGAAAGTCTCCCTCACTACTTACCCAAGAATACTATAGAATTTACAGGTGCTCTCCATGCAACTGTTATTAAACAGGTACTAATACCACTGAATTTAAATTTGTAGCAGTACAAGGCCAAAGCATTGTATGTATATCTGTGTTTATATTATGTATATACTACAACAATGAATCAATGGATTTCATGTCATTTGACTACTAAATATAGAAGATGGAAGTATGCATCTTCTTTTTTAACTTCTTCAGGCTTGGGATACTGAATTCTGTTGCTTTTTTTTTTATCTTTGCTTGTAAACACAATAAAAATCTACAAATCTAACAAATCTAAGGTAAAAGTCAGAGAGGAATAAGAGATTAACAGGCATAGGAGGGTAGTGTATACTGCAAAAAGAGTACCCAGAAAAACTGAGATTGGATAGTCTGTGGGAAGTCCATGCTTCTTTGGAAGAAAAATTACCTACCTAAATATTTGAAGTACTTTCTTATTTTGTGAAACCCTTAGTCTGTATTTTGGAACTTAGCTGCAGAACACACATTTTATACTTGAAAAATTGAGTAAAAATAGGCTGATGTTGTTGTTGTGATAGGTGCGTCTGAAAAACCCAAGCCGTAAAACTTTGATGTACAATGCTATTCTCGTTGGAAGAGATGCCAATGATTTCTCATTACCTAAAGGGAACACTGTCACCGTTGCCCCTAAGTAAGTAATGTTTTGGGCTTTTTTTGTCATTAACGAGTCTAGCATTATGGAAATATGAACTCCTAATTTAATAGTGGTGTAACACTAGAAATGTGTTCAAATACAAATGGCAAAATTAGTCGATATAAAGATAAGGCTTTTTTTCCTAAACCTAGAACAAGTCTAGAATATTTTTTCAGTGGGACATTTGCATTTTAGCTCAGTAGGTGGCTTTAAGAGCAGAATACAAACTTTCAGATCATTAGAGGAGAATGTTCTGCTTTCTTTGGAAAGAATGCTTTCAGAGAAACTCAGAGACAGCAGGTAGGCTTGTAACAGACTTCTAGAAAAAAAAAAAAATCCTGTGGCCTAAATAAAAAGGGAGAATTTTCAGTATATTTAGTAAAACATTTGATGTGAGTGTATTAGTGAAGCCTAACAGAAGTATTTTTTTTTTTTTTAAATGATAATGACTATGATCTGTTTAGGAATAAGAGATAGCTAGAAACAAGCACTTCACATTAAAGTTCTTTGTTCTACTTTTTGAAGTAAATAATCCATAAATATGGGATTGAAGGCAGATTAATCAATGTGTTAAGAATCACTAAAATGTAGGAAAACCTACTTGCTGTATCAAAGAACATTTCTACATTGAAAGCTGGAGGTGTATGTTAAAACTTTCTGAGTATCTGTAATGGTTCAAAAAACATAAGGTCAGATAACTCTACATTCTTATTCCCCTGAATTGAAACAGTTCCTTATGAATTTATGAATATTATGTTTAAATATGGATATGCCTTCATCACTGGTTTGTCCTTTACTGCAAGCTAGCTTGATCCTAGCCAGCCTTTTTATCTCTGAAATAACAGGTCCTTTAGATAAACTAATAAAGACAAAGCAGTTAAAAATAGCAGCTATTGCCTGGTGAAGGCCTGCTGTAGAGCTTCAGTCTATTTGTAAAGCTTGCTTTACGAAAGTGCTAGGGTAAAAGGTCAAGGGAAATATTAGCAGTTCAGAGAACATTCACTCATGAGAGTTCAGGCAATTACAGCTGAAAAGAACTATAGTATTGATAGGGAGACTAAAGAAACTTAAACTTGTCAGTCTTCCGATTGGAGAGCTGGAAGACTTTTAGAAAGACATTATGCATAGAGATGTGCCTGTAATTATCTGCCAAATTCCTATATTTAGAAGTAATTATAATTGAATTTGTGATGACTGTGGGTCATTGTAATCACTAATGAGGAATAAGTATGACGGACTAATCCTGTTGGACCTGCTGTGTAAGAATGTTTGGCCTGGACGATTCTGTAGATGAAGGCCCATTCTGAAAAACACTGCATTTACTTTCTAGGAGAGATGAATTGCAAGAAATTGATAAGCTAAACAGATCAGGAAAAAAAATGAGAAGAAAGGCAAAGGGTAATGAAAAGGGGTTACTTAAATATATTAGGAAGCAGTGTGAAGCATTAGATAGAGATTTTAAAGTAACAGTAACAAAGTGATAGAAATATGTACTATGTTTCTATCTGTATTTTCAAAGAACCATGACAATGCATTCCGTGGTCCACTACTAGCTGGAGAAACTCATAAATGGCTGTCGTGGGTTAAACATGGCTGGCTACCAGATGCATATCTAGACACTCTCTTACTCCATCTCTTTCACAGAATGGGAGATAAAAAAAGTGCTAAAAAGGGTTTTGAGTTGAGAAAGATGGGGACACTGCTTACCAGTTACCATCATGGGAAAATCAGGCTCGACTTAGGTGAAATTGTTTTAGTTAATTTTCAATTAAAATGGACTTTTGTAGTAGGAAACAAAGATAAAAATTAACACATCACCTCATGTCTTCTCCACCCTTTTCTACCAAACTGAACTTCACTCTTTCATTCTTGAGTCCCCTACCTTCTCTCCCTGCCATCCTGAATGGCAGAGGGTGTAAGGATGAGTAAATGGCTTCAGCCACTTTGTAGCAGTTCCTCTCTGCTTCTCTGTCCTCCTCATACTTTTCTCCTGCTCTGTGGGTCCTGCCATGGACTGTAGTCTTTCAGGAAAAAATTTACTCTAGCATGAGTATCCATGAATCACAGTTACTTCAGGAAATGTTTAACTGCTCTGGCATGGGGCCCTCTGTGGATTGCAGTGTGGATGTCTGCTCCAGTGTAGCCCCCTCCTCATGCTACAGGGAATTATCTGCTCTGGCAGCTGGAGCACTCTCCCTCTACTTATCTGACCTTGATGCTCCCACTGCTGTTTCTTACTGTTTTTCCTCACTCTTCTGCCCTTCTGATGTTTTTGCCCTTAAATACGCTTTCACAGAGGTGCTACCAGCTTGGCTGATGGGCTCATCTGGATCCATTATGGCACCAGCCAGAGCCATTTGTGCCCTGCACAGAGCAGCTCCCCATCTCTTCTCACTGAGGCTGCCTCTACAGCCCCCTACTAGCAAAACCTTGCCACCTATGCTCCATATCTGTCAAGAATGAATATTTTATATCAATTGGTTAAGATGAAACTGGCTTTAATCCTAAGCAGCTGAACATCAGGGACTTCCAGAGACTATACTGTCATTCTGCTCTGGCTTTTGGGATGCATCAGAACATTCTCAGTGTAGCTGAGTGTCATACCTTGCATGCGATGTAATTAATCTTTCATCTGAGTTTCCCACTCTGCAGGACACCGCACTGTGACGTGTCAACTTGCAGATCACAACAGTAATAGCATAAAGGTGTCTAATCTGTCTTATGTGTAGACATGCATATAAGTTACTCAGTCTGGGTATCTTAACAAGAGAAGTGATAAAAATTACTTGATCAGTATTTAAAAGTGCCTTTCTGGGAAAGGGACCTGTTTAACTGCAAACAGTACAGAGCAAAACTTTTTATATGAACAACAGCTTGAAGCTGAGTTGTACAGATTCAACCTGGAAGTAGCAAAAGAGATTTTCTCTTGAGGGGAAAAAAAACCTCTATCTGAATGACAAATTCTTTAACTGTTGGGGTTTTGCGAATCACAGGACATGTAAAACAGTGCAGGAAATTACCTCAGAAAGTAATTTAATCCAGCCTTGTGCCTCAGATAATATGGGTGCTTTCTCAGAAAAATGCTTCTTCCAAATACTAGTTATCAGAAGCAATGGAAGGATGGTTGGGTTGCACATAGTAGCCTGCAATGTAGAACTACTTTGGATTGTTTTATCTACTGATTTCTGTTGGCTTTAAGCTGTAAATCTGATTCCTCTTAGCACCTTTTCATATTTATTTTTTTTCCTACACTGGAGTACAACAAATAGAGAGAATTTGGTTCATTGTTTTTTTGAAAGGTGGCATATGCTGAGCTGATAAAGAAATTAAGGTTCTTTGACACCTACAGTATATCATCTGAAGTGGGTGTGGATGTAGCTAGTTATAATAACATGAGAATGAGCAAGATTATAGAACAATTCCATGAGCCGAATTTTTCTCACTTTACATTGTCTACAGCACAGATGAATAAATAATAAAAACTAAGCAACTTTGTGTTTTCCCTGGTGTTGGCTTTGCCACAGAAAGCAACAGTCGACAATTCAAATCAGGTTTCTCTGGTGTTGCATAAGCCAGACAGCAAAGATCAGGCAGAATGCTCCATACACTCCATTTCCCTGCTATTCTTGTGACAAGAGCAGACTCCTTAAAACTGGATCCTTAAAGTGGTTTTCGAAATGGATGTCTCAGGCAGTATACTTGTCTGGGAGCCTGCAGTCCCAGGATGCATTTTCCAGGATGTTTTCAATGTCAGGGTGACTTAGTACCCTCAGACTCTGGAGGGCTTAGTAACTCTTCACTGTCAGAAATGATGTCTGGGGGCTCTGTAAGAGGAACATGAATGCTGTAAGAACTTCCAGGATTTCATAACTGATTCTCAGAACTGACATCCTGAGACTTTTGGCCTTAGGAAGAACTTTGCCCACTATCATACTCCTTTATCCTACAGGTTGAGCCTAGAAATCATACTGGATTAATTCTATTGCCTACAATAATCCTTTCTGCAGTTGGGTGAGCTTTTTTGAGTTCTGCTATATCCTTCTTTGAGGATTTTTTCCCTAATTTTCCCTGCCCATGGCAGGGGGGTTGGAACTAGATGATCTTAAGGTCCTTTCCAACCCTAACTATTCTATGATTCTGTAACAGGATACCTGCCTGTTTAACTTACAAAAAACCTGTTCAAGCAGGAGAATAAAGTAAATCAGTTGTTAACTTAGGGTAATACTATAAGGAAAGAGAACTTCCTGTGCTAGGGCATGTGGGAAGAAAAATTAAGCTACATGCTGAGGTCATAACAAGCATTAAGGATTCAAAATTTTTCTTTTTCTATCTGTATAGTTCTTTTACTAGAATGTTTTCAGGTCTTTTTAGGTAGGAAATTGTTTCCAGAAGAAACAAATTACTTATTTTCTAGCCTCTTTCTCTTACAAAGAGTCTAAAATGTGCTTCTGAATTGGTATTTCTGAGTAATTTGTGAGTCAAAATGTTGTGCCAAACTTTAAACAATTATTATTGTTATTATTTTGGTAGGAGACAGGCAGCTATAAATGTGGAATTCACCAGTCGCTTTCTACACCCTGCTGAAGCAATGTTGCTACTGGTCTCGAAGAATGTGGGTGGAATACATGGGGCCACACTGACATTCTCTCTGAAATCTGAAGTCAACCATATTGAGCCTGCTGTAAGTTTATGTGTGTATGCTTAACAATGCCACAAAAATATTGTTCTTCTGTACCTTATATCAAACAAAAGTGAACCGAGGTGAAACCTGAAATTCATAAATTTTCAGGTTCCCAATATTAGCTTATGTACAGTGTAGAAAAGCCTAGAGGAATACCTAAGAATCCTAAGGATATAAATCACACTTAGATCCTGAATAAATTTTAAAATTTTGTTCTGATTGCTCTGAAACTAGATCTGCAGCCCTTTTGGAATATGAATGCTTGTGGAAATTCCATTGTGAAGGTGGTGATATGCTTCAACTTAGTTATTTCAGCTGTCAGATGTAGATGGACAGCAAAATTTTGTTAGGTGTTGCTAGGTTTATTTGTGACTTTAAACATTCTGTAGATTTAAGATGTATCCCAGAAATGGTAAGAGCAGAGATAGGCATGTGTTCCAGCATTTATTATCAAACATTTCTTGAGTAGGTGTGGATAGATCCTCTTCTGAACTTAGATGGTGTTTATAACAATTATCTCTCTCTTTTTTATTTCTTTTTTTTTCACAAGACTTTATCCCATAGCAAAAGACACTGATGTTAGAATGAAGGATTGGGGCAAGAGAAAAAATCAGAGAGAATGTAATGATAAGAAAGAAAAAGGATGATAGCTCAATTCTTGGCCTTGTGCTATCATTTGGAGGAGTATTTAAAATGTGGTGAAATTTAATGCATGTTTAAGAAGAAACAGGCTTCAACTGTTCTTTGTGGGCAACAAAGCCTAGCACTTAAATTGTGTTAATTTTGTAGTCACCAGTAGTCAAACACATGGTTCTATTCTTTGTAATGTTTTCCTGTGTATGTATTATTCATGAATATAGGTTTGTAACTTTTTCATATTGATACCATTTTTTATTCTCTTTTAGGATATATTGAAATGCAAATCCCCATGTTATGAGCTGAAGAAAGTTACCCTAAATGTTACCAACCCCTTCAGTACTGGTGGCATATTCAGGTAGATGGTGCTGTAAATTCAGATGTTTAATGATTATTTTGTTTTATCAAATCTTTTCCATAATTTTCTTCTTCTTCTTAAAAATGCAAAACCTTAAGGTTAAATTATGGGGATTTATATTACCAAAATTGTTACAAGCACTGTGAAGTGGAAGCTATTGTAATGAACAAAAAAAGATAAATAAGCCTTAATTGAAATTAATCTCAGTGTAAGCAATAAAGCTAGAGCTTTAATCAAATGGAGTTCATGAACTTTGCTTGTATTTTTGTGTTTGACTGAGGTCCAGCAGAATTCCAAAGAGAAACAAACCATGTTAATTAATAGTTGGTTATTTTTCCCCAATATGCTTTATCCTGCTGTTTTAAATTACTAAGCATGCGAAAAAAAAAACAAACATGTTTTCGCCTTGGGGCTTACAACACTATCAGTTAACCTAATTTTTCATTTATATTCATCATAGATGTAACAACTGCGGAGTTATAAATATTGCTTCACTTAATATAAAAGAGATAGACAGCTGTGCCCCTTTTAATCTATGCATGTGATATGACTCCATATTTTGTCTTTAGTCTATAGAGTTAAGGATTGGTTCATGTAATTGATTTCTTTACAAGAGCAATATCCAGTAATATTTTTAGCTTATTTTACTGATCTGAGTAATATATGTGTTGCATAAGCTGCAAATTAAATTTCTTTTGCCCCCATAGAATGGGTTTGATGTACACACCTGTGACAGGATTGTTTTCACTGTCCCAATCATGTGCCCTGCTATAAGCCTTGTATGTGGGAATCTTAGGAGTTTATTTAGCATCTGTTTGGTTTTTTAAGTTCTTGAGGTGGTCAACAAGGTTGTCTTAAATCAGCTCTATGATATGGATAACTGTCTTGGCCTAAATTGTGCAAAATGTTCTAAGTTATTAAATAAGGAAGAATTAAAACATCAATAAATTCTGGTTTTTTTAAATCTGGAAATTTTTTTGTCAGTACTTTTAATGTATCTCTAATTGAGAATAATAAACTTACTTACCAAGCCTTCATTTAAAAAATAAGATTAATGTTGTCTTCATTCTGCAAGTTAAAAAATGTGTACTAACCATACCCCAGGGTCACTTTGCTGGAATCCACAAGTTACTTAATGCAGCCAGAGGAAGTATATAAAGCGAAGCAAGCAAAGCAAGAGCAAATTTTCAGGTAAGCTATATGGCAATTGCTAATTATAATATAATGAATTATGTAACATTTTAATAACACACTACAGATAACTGTAGAGAAAAGATAAAGATGTTGGGTTAGGGGCAACTGTGGTGACTTAGGTGACTGAAACTCTGAAAACTAGTTCCAGTTCAGTGCAACAGGATTAATTCCAATTCTTGGCATGAAGAAGGTAGAGATATTTGAAGGTGCAAGAGTAAGGTCAGGTTTTTAATTATAAATATGCAGCATATAGAATTCTAATTGTGCTGAAGTATAAGATGTTACAGGTTCAGTAGGCTCCTGGAGATGCAAGAATAGGGCAAAAGGTTATTAGTGCAGATATATTGATATGTTAAAATAATTTTATGTCTACACATTACTGCTAGCTGACCACGGAGAGATTTTCTAACATATGAAATCTGGAAGGAGAAGTTCAAACTAAGTGTGGTAAAGATAATAAAGTGCCAAAGAATGGAAAAGAGAGAGCAACTCGAATAAGAATCAAGGAGGCATACAGAGAAAAATACATGCTTAAGACTTAACGTCTGAAAGCAGGTAGTTCAGTCTTCAGTCTTCAGTTGTTAGACAGTGAGATAAGTACCAGTAAGCTTAGATGAACAAGCAGAAATCTTGGCAGGCTTTAAAGAGGTGAAATGTAAATCAGAATCGCTGATAGTCAAATTTAAAGGAGAAAAAGAGAATCAAAAAGGTTTAAGAAATAAAATTTGTGTCACTCTCTAGAAGCGGCCCAGCATAGAGAAAGAGCAACCATAAATACCTAAAACAGTGTTTGGAACTTGGTGGGTGTTAGGAATTGTACTGTTGTTTTAATAATTGGCAGTTTAATAGCTCAGTTTTTTTCAGTCATAGACTGAAAATGTTAATTCTAAACCTTTTTTTTTGGTGTCTACATGATTGATCTCCTTTGCATGCTTTGAACTTAATCTCTGCAGGTCCAAGTGGGGTTCCTAGTCTCACAGTTCCTACTGTGTCCTCCCGATGTGTTAGATGCACTGCTTTAAACAATGTAACAAGCTTTACCTGGCAGGCAATCCTTTTACCTACCACGTTTCCCCTCTGGCAGTATCACAGATGCCCAAAATAGTGTTATTCACACCGAAGAGGTGACCAGTCCTTCAGTCACTGTGGCATGGGCTGATCCTACTGTGACTGGAAAGGCATACCAATCTGAAGCTAGGGCCCATGTGAACTATATCCTTACTGGGACATAGTGCTGTCTAAGCCAAAAAACCACTTTAACAGTGACCCATGTCTGAGGCAGGGTGTCATTCAATTGTTGTAGGCAAGAGCTTTTTGTCCATGGGGAACTGAATGATGTTTGGTGAGAAGGATAGATTTTTTTTCTTTCATCCAGCTGACATAGTTTTTCTTTTAAGTGTATTGTGATAAAAGTGCCTGGATTTTTCCAAGTTATGAACTTTTCTATACTTTTCCAGGCCCTTGACACTTCAGTTATTACCCTTGGTCTACATCTGTGTACCAGTATGGTCTGCTCCCTGTGGGAGGAGAACCAGGTGGAGAAGTGCACACCACATGGCCCAGGAATTCTAATGTAAAACTGTCTATAAGCAGTTTTCAAGCACGTTGGTATTTTGAATTATGTCCATTAAAAAGTATCGAATGACAGTAAAGTTCAAGGTCACATTTAATAGCTAAGTTTCCTTCATAGATTTCCTTCTGCAAAACTAGCAAGTGTAAAGGTATGCTAATGATTCACTAATAACCCTATTCTAAGACCACAACCAAGCCATTTAGAGTATGCATTACAGTGTTCATGAGTCATAAAGATGGCTCATGATTGCAGAGACTTGCAAAAAAAGCTGTGAATGCGGATAAATATTTTTACATCAAGAAAAACTTACTCTATAACAAAAAAAGAAAAATTAATTTCAAAGCTAACTTTGCAGAATATTGTATACAGCTTTTTTTTTTTTTTAACAGAGATAATACCCTAGCATTCCAAATACTTTTAATTTTTCTGAATATTGTTCTTATACTTTTGTTCTAAGCGGTTCCATGTGTCAAGAAAACAGTTATGTTAAACAGAGTAGCTGTGTTTATTGACCAGCCTGGCAAGTCCTATAAAAGCAGCTCTGTCAGATCAGCTCCTCCAGTAGACCTAGCTTCCCAAATCGAGTTCCATGTCCTAAATAACCAAACCCATGACTGTGGCACCACTGTTCTAACCATTTATTAACTTGCCAAATCCACCTGCTGTAGTCTCTGATTTTGCAGTCATGACTTGGCATTCTGATTCAAAGATAAGACATTGAAAGAGATGACGTTTTATATAAAATTTGTATATCTTTATGTGAAATACTCATTTGTAAGTACAGAATACTTAATTGTACTTGCATACCTCAGAGATCATTTTCCTTTCTGAAAGTATAGGTATTAAAATGAATCCCCAGGGTAACATATTCTGAGAATTTTACAAGTCCATTTATTTAAGGCTGTGTTTTTTTGTTAGCCTAGCAAGATTAACTATTTATTTTAAGAGAGATCCAATAGCTAGCAAATGCTGTATGTAATTATTTGCTATAATCTGGTTCATCAAATTTTACTGCTATGGGAGAATGACTTTTATGTGTAGATAATATTAAACCTGAGCCTAGATCTGAAACTCGCAGTATTTTTTTATATACATTGCAGTATAGTTTTCAGTGTATTTGAGCTCTGTGCTTGTTGTAAATTAAACAAATCTCTCCATAAATGTAAGTGCACAGTCTTAACTCTTGTTAAAAATGGTAGGAAATATTTGTGAAAGATAAAAAAAAGATACAAAGTTGTATCGAGGAAATAAGATGGTAAGGAGCACAATTTACTTTGACTGGATAAAAATAAGCAAATATTCTGTTGTAAACTGTTTTTTGAAGGGTATCAGTTCTTTTCAAATACGCTTGAAGAGCAAACCTGTAATTAACAGAGTTAAGGTGTTCACGTTAAGATTCATCCCCTTCACTGTTTTCTCAGACAAATCTTTGATTGCATTAAGTTCATTGCGAATGATTAACTACACTGTTAGTAAACATAGATAATTCCTCTAGTTTTCATGTAAAATAGGCACAGTGGGAGGGGCTTTGTTGTTGCTGGGTTTTTCAGTCCCCTCTTTTCAGGGCTATGAGCTTGTGCAAATGAAACTTGTATGTGAACAAAAGTAAGTGAAGAGGAGAATTTAGTAGAAATTTTTAGAACTTGCTTGAAGAGCTTCTCTTATGAGATTTGATGCTTCCTAGAAAGACCATGAACTACATATTAACATGGGATTTTACATCCCTAATACCTTATTATTTGGTATAAATTCCTCAAATACTCTGAGCCAAGAGAAAAAATAGCGATTGTACAGAAAATCATGGAAAATTATGTTTATTCTGTGACTAGAAATGTTGTAAGGTATGTGTAAAAAGTGAGTCTCAAATGTGTTGTTTTTTTTTTTTTCTCATATAATAATTGAGGAGAAAAAGAAAAAATCTAAGGAATATTTTAGGCAAGAACTTTTTTATGTAATTAATTTCTACTCTAAAGATGCCACATTCAACCTTTTTGGATCAGCACTATAAGTAAGAGAAATTATTTACACCAGGCAGAGACAATGGTAACAGCAGCCCCCTATTTTTAGCCATGAAATATTCAAATATTCCACTGTCTTGTGCTTTTTCTTAAATAATTGAGCTCTGTTTCTTCTAAGAAAAAAACATGGCTTAAAAAACCTTAAATAGTTTTTATGCTATTGATTTGTTGTAGTTCATTCTTGTTATACAGAACTGTGGGATTCCAGTGGGATGTTTCTGATGGATTAAATGTGGATCTTGCACATACTGCATTGTGTTTTATTAACATTAGTGTAAAGTCCATGTTTTAGCTTTACTGATTTCATTTGTTGAAAAATGGCCCATCTTACCTTAAATAACAAAAGTGTATTTCCTATTAAACTTCTTAAACATATTGCTGTCCTGGGGCTTGGTTAATCTAGCTGATATTGTATAAAGTCGCTCTAGTTTTATAGTAAGATGTGTTGTGATGTGTTCTTTCAGTATTACAGTGTAGCTGTCTAACTTAAAAATAAATCTAAATAAACAAACAAGCAAATAATAAATATGATCTTACATCTTATTTTCAAGATTGAATTTTCAAAATTAGATTTCTATTTAAAAATCAATAGGGAAAACATGCAGGAAGCTTTGTTATATATTTACAAAAAATATAGATTAATCATCTGCCCCTTGTGAGTTATAAACAGTCATGAATAGGAGGGAGAAGGTTGACAAGTCAATACACTGGATTATCCAGTGTATACTTGTATGTAGTATATATTTGAAACCCTGGTTCATAGTGAGATTATTTAAGTATCTTAGAGAAGTTACCAATATACATGCAATTTGAAGTGAAATAGTGTGTCTTGAAGAATAAGAATTTAATTCAAAAGTTGTATTTAGTGATAAGGTTTTCTAAATTAATTAGGGATTTTTTTACTGTTGAGGTATAGTAGTACAAAAATCAAAACACTGCTGTTTTACATTCCAAATAGAAATTTAGAGACATCTTTCAAACCAATGATACATCCTACTATATATAAGTTTTTCAAATGTTTTATTTGCAGATTATAAAATTAAATCTACATAATTGTTAATAGTCTATGCAGTACCTGAAGTCTCTGCATTTAATATATATAAATGAAATATTGATGATAAAAATATATCTTCTTAAAGCTCTATTGACTTTACTGTCTAGGAGGGGTTAAATATAGGACTTTATAAAGCGGCGAGCCTCTTGTGCATTTCCAACCAAGATCCACAGTCTACATTCTCTTTATTTGTAAGTTGAAAGAGGAATAAATCCCTGCTATCACACTATGTTATATTAAAAAAAAAATATATTCCCCGCATTTAAAAATTTCAAATTTACATGGTGAAATACTAGTCCCTCTGAGGCCAGAAATCTGCTGCTGCACTGAGCAATAAATAAAAACAACAGAATTAAAACCATTAATGTGTTAATTGGAAAAATGAGCCATCATTTCAACACTTGCTGTATTTCATAAAATTAAAGCAATTAAGACCTGAACCTTTTTTTAAGAGTTGGTAATGTTGCCACCACAGAAACACAGTCTTCTGTTGAAATCAGTGGAGCTCTGCACAGGAGTTTAGTTTCTCATATTTATCCAGGCCTAAGCAAGAAAACAAAACAAATTGACATTTTTTTGAGCTGATGTTAGGGAATTTTTATTGTACTCCTTGAAACAAATTGAACACACTGGTCTGCTTAAATATAGAGATTTAATGAACATACATGTTGTGCAGAGATTTATCACCATAAGCGCTTCCACAGGAGCTCCTCAAAGTTGCAACATGACCCACTTCCTTGTACACTTGCACCAAATGTCAATCCTGTGAGCATCAGCATCAGGTACCTTAACCAGCTGTTTAGTTCATCCCCCAGCACCAGAGCTGTTTGTTTAGCAAAAGTGGCTTCTGATCACTTGCATTCCACAATCCATAGTTTTGTAACTGTTGTATCATTTCTTATCTCTTCAGGAGGGAAAATTTCACTCCTTTAGAGGGAGTTGTTCTGCCTTTGGCATTCATGCTTGCAGCCAGTTGGGCCTTCTTGTCCTTCATTCCAGATTGTTCCTTGGTCCTGAATTATCATTGCTGAGTAGTTAAAATTTGAATTTCCCCTTCACTGGACAGGTTTCTTTTCCAGATGGTATTGGAAACAAAGTTTAGATTTAGAGTAGAGTTTAAACCAGACTTTGGAATAATAGCTAATGGTATATCCAAGGTTCCCAGTAAGCCAAAGCCATAGGCTAGATTCTTCATTTACTATATAGTTCTAATTTTTGCATATATGAATTGCTGGTATGTTTTCTAATTAATATAATAAGTGTAAAATGTTTCCCTGAAAGTGCCTCACACACACAAAGAATCTAGTATTCTGTAACATGCAGCTATGCAGCTTGGAAGTACAATTAATGTTTTAAATATTTCTAACTTTAAATGTCTTATTTTTATTTTTTTTTTAAATGTTAATGTTGTGTTAAGGTACTTCAACCCCTACTTAGGCAGATAGAAGTGAAAAGATTCAGGTAGCTCTCAGGGTGGTACCTGGATAAGGTAATTGAGCTCACATGAATAAAGAAGAACACTTATCTTTAAAAAGTGGAGGCTGTCAGGCTAGGAAGAAGGTAGAGAGAGCTACATAAAAAAATTGGGACTTAAAAAAAGTTTAGTTAAGAGGAAGTCTAGTCTCTGGAATATGTTCTGATAATGGTCAAAGTAAGACTTTTACTTTTGCAAATCAGTTACTGAAAGAAGCTGCGGTCTCAAGACATGTCCACAGGTCTAAGAATATAAGTCCTAGTATGAGCACAATGCATCTGAAGCGAATTTGATTTGCAGATATTTAGATTTATTTCTATAGACTTTTTCTGAAAAACTGGAAAGACTGAATGAGAGACAACTGAGAGCATCAGAAGAATGCAGAGCCTTGCCAGTTCATGATGTACCAGGGAACAGTTCTTTCCTATCTTCATAAGATATTGAAATGATAGAAAAGAACTGGAACAGAGGTCTGCAAAGGTGTTATTGAGCAGGAGTAATCTTGACTGTCAGAATATAATTGTACTTTCTTAACATGGAATTTTGCTTATGTGAATATTGCAGAGATATTATACTGGGTAAGTGAAGGGAGCATGTTCTGGCTCTGCTGTAAAAAAGATTAGTAACTTAAGTGGAAGAGGTCCTATTCAATATTATTGGTAGGTAGATGATTCCACAATGTGGATTTTTTTCTTGGAAATATTTGCTTTTCAAGTATTTATTCATAGAAAGGGGAACAAACCTAGCTATTAATAATAGAAATATCCAGCTTTAGTATAATGCTTTCATTTTTTTTTTCCTTTTAGCTCTAAAAATAACATATTACATTTTAAAAATGGTGCACTGCCTGAAGATCCAAATGAAGAGATCAACTTAAATTGCTGTAAGTACCTGTATACAATACCTCTTGTGTCACAATCGTAGAAATTAGATTGTCTACCTAGGCAAGATTTTGACATATAAAGTATGTTCAGTGATTATTATTTATAGAGAGCTTATCTTCTGATGCATTTAATTTAGTTAAATGATTTCTAAGGTTGTTTTAGGGATCAGGCATTTCTTGGCCTTATTTCCTATGAAATATCAGTCCACAGTTCTGTTAAAACATACAAATGTAGAGCTACAGGATTTTCTGAGACTGTTGCAAATTTTTAGGATGGCTTATGAAATTAATTTTGTCCCCTTAGAAAATATTGGTTTGCTTCTGTGAGGTGATATGGAAAGCAGATTTGCAGTCCAAATAATTTAGCCCTTCTAGATATATTGATTAGCTCAAATGGTATTCTGAGATGTGATTAAAAGCCAACTAATATACAGTTCATAAAAATAAAATGTATGTACCCCAAGTAATAAAGTGGAATACAACTATTGTACCAGTTTGTGAGTAGATTACAAACGTTTTTATGGCTTTAATCAGATTGAGACTACAGACATTTTTAATGGCATCTCAGGTCTTTGGAAATGAAATTAGTCTTTCATTTCTTGTAAAAGCACATTCCTGCTTTAAGAATAATTCCTCTTTATTCTCTCAATACCATGGCAAACAAAACCTAAATAAGAGTCTTCTTTATGTGTTGTACACCCTGAACTGAGATAACATGTATTATTTAAACTATAGGAATTTTATATTTTTTTTATTTTGGAGCAGCCATAATAAAAAGAAAGAAACTGGAAAAAAAACCAAACCAACAAAACAAACAAAAAAACCCCAAACCAAACCAGAAAAACCCAAACCCAACCAAACCTCCCGCAAATCCCCCTGCTTATTAAATGTTGCTTTTTTGGCAATTGTTTTAATTTCACAAAATCCAGAAAAAAAAAGTGAGGAGAGAGGGCTCTCACAAGACTAATTCAGTCTACCCCACAGTTTTACATACTTTGAATGAGAAAACCTTGAACGGAGACAAGTTTGAGAGTTAGTGCCTTCAGTAGTAAAAAATCAGTTGCTATTAGGTCTGCCTTACCCTATTTGATGGAAAGTTTAAAACAGGACTTCAGTCCTCTTGGTATTTGTGTATGTGTCATTGTTTATGTAGGCTTTAGAAACATCAAATTAGCATCAAATTTAACTGTTGGTTAAAGCATGAATATTGGGAAATTTGTATTTTTATTGTTTGGCAAAAAATTTGGACTATGCAGAGAAAAGATGGGTGGTGGCTATGCCTTTCTTCAGCTTGGTTCTTGGTGTTTTTGAGGGGTGAATCAGTTCTATTTAGAGTTTGGCATATTTTTTTTACATAGTGTTCACCCGTTTCTGTTGCTTTCACTTTTACATCTATTCTAAAATCTGCAAGCCAAGCTTGAATGAATATCTGGTTCTAAAGTAATCCGTATCATCAAAATATGCTTAGCAGATGAAAAACACATAGTGAGAAAGTACTCACACTTTGCCAGATTCAACCCCAAGATTTTTAACGTCTATGAAGAAAGCACTTTCTCAATTTGTGAAAACAATGCAAAGAAAGCAAGCTTGCCAGTATTTTTGTCTACACTAGAGGATTTCAGACTATAACATAACATTGTTGCTGCTACTGAGAGCAAAACTGTTTGTTTAAATAGTAGTAAAATGTACTCTCTTTCTGGCAGTAGTCATTTACCCATAGTCATATAGGGTGTAGATCCTTTAAGAGCTTCTGTTTTTCTAGGTCTTGTTTCATAGCACAGAATAAGAGCATGAGCAGCTAGCAAAATTAAGTATTTAAATAATACAGCATGCAATACTGCAACACGTCTACACAAGTGTAACTGAAGATACTGATTGCCAATTACGAATGTGCCTTAGATACTGATTACTACAGGAGGCTGTATACAGGATCCTTATATTTAACCTTAGGCAGCTACATTATTTTACAGCCTGTGCTGCTGTATCTAAACAACCATTTAAACTTATTTTAACAGCTGACCAATCCAGCCTCCTGCATGAGTTCTTCAGTCCAGTGGAAAAACTGTTCTTGGAAGGGAGAAGTTCTTCAGGCTTAGATATTCACTTCCTTCCCTTTAATCTGGAAAAACGTTACTGTAGTGTCATTCTGGCTAATGAACTGGTAAGAACAGAAAGTATGAATGGAAGGTGGTTTTCATGTGGTAGTCCCATCAGTTAAGAATTAGGCTATGCTTGCCAACTGTGTGTGAATAGGGTAAGTAAATATACAAATGGGTTATGTACATATTATAAGGAATGTATTTGAATGCTTATGCAGTTATAAGGATGTGATCTATATATGATATTCTTATAATTCATGGAGGAAAATGTTGCTCAAGAAGTTGGTCAGAGACTAACATAAGATTGGATGCTTCAGTTAAGAAATTTAAACTAAAGTTTACTGCCCTTTTATCATCACATAATTAGAAAAAAATGAAATGCTGCAAGTTACTTTTCGTTGTAAAATGATTACAAATAAAGATAATACTGCAAGGAATGTTATTTTGGTGGCTTTTCCAGGCAACTCATCTTAAAAACAAATATATAATTTAAATAATTTATCTCGATGTTGGAGCAAGAATAATGCTTTAGGATGAGACATATGCAGGAAGAGGGTAAAGTCTTCTCTCCATCTTGTTCACTGTATCTAGGATATGATGTCAAAGTAGAATAGTAGTTATTTTCCTTGCTCTGCCTGTTTTTTAATTTGCCTGACAATCCAGATTCTATGCAGTCCTTGCACTAATGCAGGAAAAACTTTTGAACAGATTGTACATCAGTACTGACTCCATTACCTTTCAATTTCTCTTGATTCATGTAGCCTGGGTTTTGCATATGTATTTAATCAAAATTAATTTCATCAAATTACCAAGACCTGGTTTTGACCAACTTTCAGAGTTTAAAGTTTGTACTCCAGATTCTTTGATGTTCCTGTAATCCTTCATCTCAGTGGTCCCAGTCTTATTTGTCTTTATTCCATCTTTTCACAGCCCTTTAAGCTCGCTGTTGTGTTTTGTCTCTATCCATCAATGTTTTTCAACACCCTCTGTTTTTCTAATATTCTTTTATGTGTGGTTGATCTCTAGGCTTATATTCTGCTTTTTACTTTCATAATGCTACCTCTGTGTTTCAGCTTTCCCTCTGTGCAGTTACATGCATCTGCTATTCTCTCTGACATGTTTTCATGATTTGTAACAATACATCCAAAACTAAATGACTTATTCTTTCCCCCCTGTGCATTCTCAGCTTCCATATGTTTCATTACTATAGAACACTACAAAAGACTTCTGCTAGTGTTTAGTGTTTGTTTTTATTTTTTTAACCAGGACTGGTTATGCTGCTTGGCCAATTTATACTTGTCCTTGCTTTTGAAGGAAAATGAGACTAATGAAATAATGCCCAACCCTGTCTGTCTGACCCTGTTCAGTATTTGAAACCACTGGCCATTTCTTTAAGAAAACGAGCCATATGGCTGGAAGTCTAAAGAGTGTGAAGTTCACTTAAGTTTCTTGAAAGTTACCAGAGAGAGAGAAGATAGTCTGGCAAAACCTATAGTGAGACAGTGAGCTCATGCCTCATTGAGACCAGCAAATAACCCACAAAAAGTCTGTGTAAATGTCCACATGTCAGAAGATAGTGATCTTTGTGGATGGTTCAACAAAAAAAGAATCCAGCACTCAGCACCATTCAGAAAGAGAAATTATTAGGAAAGAAAAAGAATAAAATGTGAAATCTTAGTATACCTTTCTGAAGAGCTATGCTGTACAGATCTTGAATATTGTGTGCAGTTCTAGTCACCCCAGGAAATAATATAATGATAGGGATAGTGGGAAGAGAGAGAGAAACAAGGATAATTAGGGTTAGGGAATAGGGTTAGGGTTAGGATACAAGGATAATTAGGGATAGGGAAGTGTGTAGTCTGCCTGGAGCCTGGATCAGGGATATCACCAGGGTGCTCCCCGACTAGAAGGATGTAACAGTTTCTTTACAGAGACAGATAATTAAAAAATATAAATCCTATAATCAATAAAAGAGATTGTTAAGGGGCATTACAGGTACATAGCACAGAAGTCTATACACTGGCTAAGAAAAGGCTCATGCTATATTGGGTATAGAGCCAGAAAAATAAATAATTTAGTGAATAGAGACATGTTAATGGGAGGAAAATAAATCTAAGAGATGTGGTCAGAGATATGGGATGGTTATATTTCATGTGGAAAGGGAAAAGAACATTTCTGACAACCCCAGTGTTGCCTCCAGTGGTGATGTAGAAACATTTAAATTTAGACACCTAACTAGTGCTCATAATTTTTAACCAAGAACAAGTTCACCTTATCATAGTGGGAAGCATTAATACCTCAGAGAAGCCACTGTTATGTCCTGTATGGTAAGTATTTCTGGAACACCTGGTCTTTCCATCCTAGCTGAGTAGCTAGGATGCATTTAAAGGCTGCTGAAAGTACAAAATTTTCTATATGTAGCAGTTCAGGTTAGAAAAAGTCTCATCCAAACAAATATATCATTTGTAAGAAAATATGGTGAATCTTTTAGGGAAAAGGGAAACTGCAAGATAGCTGGCGTGATTTTAGAGCTGTACAGTAATGACACAGGAAGAAATTTGCTTTCTTAAATATTGTGTATGTGGCTGCAATATTTCAATCATACCACTGTCTAATTGACAAACAAGTGTAGCTACCATGCTGAATGAAAATCAGATAGCTTCATACAACGATGAGACATATTGCTCAGGTATGGACTCGTGATTTATATAATCTAAAAAAATAACCAAATTTAGCATTTCTGTAAATTCTTCCTACTTACCATTCCTACCCTTTTGGACCAAAATAGTAATCAAAGACTGCTTCTTCATTACAACCAACAAAGAAGGTACTGAGGTTCGAAACCCCAATTTGACTAGGAATCCTATCTGTCATTGCATTAACTATGTGTCTGTAATAAAAGCAAGAAGATACAGGGGTTCAAGCTTGTTGGCCTGCTTAAGTATGTTGCTTAAATCGTTTCAAAATAATCTGGGTGTTAACTTTTCTAAGGTTCGAAATGACAGCACAAGTTATTTATAGCATTTTCCAAGGACTTGTTTCAGTATTTCTGTTTTTGTGAGAAAAACGTTCTTCAAATTTTTAGCATAGGTCTTTTCAGAGAAGAAATTATATATTGGTTAACATAACTGGGTTGCTTTTTCTCTAAATCTTTGCTTCTGGGAGCTAATTTAAATGTGAACATCTCAGGATTGCAATGACAATAATCTGCTAAGTCATACTTTGAGAATGTCAGTCCAGACTTTCACAGCTAAATATCTAATGTAGAATTAAATGTTTTATTAGGAGAACAGTTTACTGTACACTATTCTTAATTACTGACTTGTGTGGAGAGGTGGAAATTCCTGGTAGCTATATATTCTCCTGAAATATTGGTTAGGAATGGGATTAGATAAATAGCTAATGGTAGTTCAACAGCTATTTTCTTAACTATTTTTATTATCAGTAACCCTACAAAATGTTGATGATATTCTATTTGTAGCTTATAGAAAATAGAAATATAAAGCATTAAAACCATGGAGATACTAGCTAAACTCTCAACATGCAGTAAAATACCCATTCTATTCCATCAGGAAGCATTAGGAAAAACTCAGCAGAAAGAAAACACGATTTTCATTCTATGGAGATCAAAAAGCAAGAGCTCTTCAAAGCAAAGAGGGAAATGGGGTTTGTTCCTACCTATAAGCATACTGATATCAGCAATGACAGGAAAAGAAATTCATAGTAAAATGGCATCCTAGCAACCAGAACCTTCATGAAATTACTTGTATATACTGTGAGCTTGTTAGCATTCCTTATGGAGCCAAATAACTGTGTCAAACAGGAATAATTCCTGTTTAAATTGGTTCCCAAGAGTGGCTGTTAGTTTCTGTGTGGGAGCTCACTTTTGCTGTAGGTTTCTTTAATCCTTCCCAAGGAAGAACTGTCTGAACTTCTGAATCAAGGAGGGGGAGAAAATGCCATCACAGCTGAATGGCTTTCCTTCTGCTGTGTCAGAACCATAACTGCAATGCTTTCAGCCTTAACATAAATGTCTTGAAACTATGAATAAAGTTAAAAAAATAATCAGCCTTACCTTATGTTATTGAGCATTATTATATAATCATAGAATTATAGAATAATTGGGGTTGGAAAGGACCTTAAGATCATCGAGTTCCAACCCTCCTGCCATGGGCAGGGACACCTCACTCTAAACCATATTAAACCATATTAAAGGGAAAACATTGCATTGGTTGGAAGATGGGCTAAGTTCCATAAATTATTTCCTTCATATCTGGAATAAAGGCTAATATATATTATTCTTTATAATAGAATAAGCATTTTTAAGGCAAGTTTTACAGAATGTGGTTTACAGAAATAAAGAGATGATTTCTGTGCAAATTATATCAGTTGTTATATCGGTTCTACCTTGCAATCAGTAGAAGGTGATGTTGTCCAAAAAAAGTCTTTGGTAAAGAAAAAAATGTTACCAAAACAATAGTAGTATATCATCAAATCACCTGCCTAGTTCAGATAGGTACCTAAATTAACTAGGTACCTAAATTAAATCAGCTAGGTACCTAAATTAAGTATCTTAGTTTTGGGATGCCGTGATTGTGGCCTTTATAATTTGGAGTACTTTAAGTGAATTTTCTTTAAAAAAAACCAACAGTGTCTCTTTTCCTGCACCATACTTTTTTTTTTGTCCATGATTCAAAGCATTGTTTCTCTGCTAATTAATCTAACATTTCCTCCTTGAAAAATTACTGTGTTCCTTTGTTCTAGGTCATGTTTTTATTTACATGAAAGCTTTTGTAGTTTTTCAGTTATTTTAATGAAATAGATAAGATTCGTTAACTTTATTTCTTCTTTATGAAGAATTTGTACATAGAATCATAGAATCATAAAATGGTTAGTGTTGGAAAGTACCTTAAGACCATCTAGTTCTAACCCACCCTAAACCATGTTGACCAAGGCTATGTCCATCCTGCCTTGAACACTGCCAGGGATGGAGTATTTACCACTTTTTTGGGCACCATCTTCCTGTCCTGACTTTTGCTCTTTTTTGGTTTCTAGACAAATGTTACTGGCTCAAAATTACTGTAAACATTTTTCAAAAAAAGTTCTTAACTGTGAAATAAGTCATGAATGAATTTGCTTAAATTATATATACCTATATAATTATAATTTATTTTATTGCTGTATTTATGGGTCAGGGTATCCTTAGTTAAATTATATGAAGTTGGAAAGGATTCAATAATTGATATTTCTTGACTTTTTCACATTTAATAATCTCAGTTAAAGGTACCTTATTATCATAGCAGGGTTTGAAATTGTAATTTTCTTTCATTTAAGCGTACTTTTAAAATAGTGGGTCTCCTAAATATGTAAATTATTTCACAAATCAGATTTTAAGTATTACTAGGTTATGTTTGGTTTTAGTTTTAATATCTTGCCTCATCTTCTGCATGAGTTGTTTTCTGAGTTCTGTGGATTTGTATGTTCTTGCATTTCAGGTTGGAGAATTCATATATCTGATAGAGGGAACAGGTGATATACCTTTGCCTTCAGGATTGCTTCCAATGGATAGTCCAAATGTTTTGCATGTTAGCAGTATATTAGAAGGTAAAACTAATAGAAGGGAGAAGAGTAAAATAGAGCAAACAATTATCTTCTGCAAATATTATTCAGTTCCCATGCATTTTTGCCCAGATTAATTAAATAAATCTTGTAAAAGCAATTGTTTATAGTGAACTATAAGAAAGATATTACAGTGTAACTATCAGATGTTTATTTTAATCTTGTCCAGTCTATTGTCTTCAGAGCAGCAGCTGGTTGTTAGTAAGCTTCTTTAGCTTTCTTGTATTGTGTTCAACATAGTCTTCATGAATATCTTTTGATTATTTCTCTTCTACTTCGGAATATAGGTTGTAGCCAGGTGAACTAGGACAACTCATCTTTACTTAGAATTTTTCTAATTTTAAATTGCATGAGTTTTATATGCAGTGTTGTGGTTTGACAGGCAATCCAATACTTTTGTATTTAAATAGACACTGATAAAATGCTGCCAATCCTATTTCAGAAAGAACATTAGCTACTATTTGAAATAATTGCTTATGGCTTCCTTTAGAGGAGATGCAACATCTTCTGGTGGGGTAAAAGAGTGGCTGTGTTATGTAGGTGTCAGAAAGACCTTTTAAAACCTTCATTGTTGTCTAATAGTAGTAACAATAAAACCTGGGTTTTCTTGTTACCTAAGCAACTTGTGGGTTGTATTTCAGTCTATGTTAATTTTTATTTCCCCATTATGATTAAGAATTAAAAAAAAAAGTGTTACTGGAGTAAATCACACATACTAGAGCAATAACACTAAACATCAAGGCAATTTTGTATTCTGGCTTTTCTTTGGAGATTTGAGATTTTAAATGCTCCATGCAGTTATGCTACTGGTTGACAAATGTGGGGGTTTTGTTTTTTTTCCTTTCTTTCTTTATTTTTTTAAATTTATTTAACAGGTCCAAGTTCGGTAGAGCCAGTTTTATATTTGAAATGTCGTCTTGATCAGATTCTTGAAGAAAATCTGAAGGTTCCAGTGATCAATGACTCAAGAGAAAGGGCTCTGGCTATTGCTGCACAACAGCAGATGTCAACTATTGAATATGAAAGAAGAAAGATCACAGGGACTCTGCAGAGCAGTAGTGTTAGAGTTGCAAGTGCATTGTTAGGACTGTCCAGAGTAGAGGTGAGAAACACAGTACTCTGTTAATGCAATTATTTAGTGGCTCTTGGTTTGTTTGCCTGTGTTTTTTAAGTTTCAGGAAACTGCGAAGTTACGGGTTTTTTTTCACACGTTCTGACTGTAATCCCAGTTTCCCCTCAGACAGTGCAATATTTTATATGTTCATTCTGAAGCTGCTTTCTCCATGCTATTAAGAAGTACTTCCTTTGAGAAATCTTGGCTGCAGTTAAAGAGCCTTAACATTTTACTCTCATAGTCTATATAATAGGTATCTGTATTATTATCCTTCCTTATTCACATTTTTGTAAGAAATTAAAATTCTCAAACAGGATTTTTCTTTAAAGAATAGGCTTTGTGAAAAAATCGAGGAGCACGAAAGACTTTTTCATGTCTTGTGATCAATACAAAATGGTTTTGGAAAACCACAGATCTTCTTTATAAGCTATAGCTCCCTACTTAGACATCATTCCAACCTAGACATATTTTCCCAAGATTTCAATATTTAGAAACAAAAACCCTCCCAAGGTGGTCTGTTAAACATTCAATTAGTACTTGTGAATAAATTTATAATAGCAATATTGCCAAATAAGAAAGCTTTTTTTTCTCATGTAGAATTCAAGTGCCACCTATGGATAATAACCACACACTAGGCTTTAATTTCCCTTGTGAACGTGATATTACCTGGCTGCAGCTAGATTGCTGAGCAGCTGTGTTACTCCAAATTTCTAAATCAGTATACAGAAAACTTCTCCATTTTATTTTTCATAAGCAATTACAAGACTTTCTGTACATGGAGGAAAATACTTTTTTCTGCATACTAGTTTAATTTCCCACATGGTAATTTATTCAGTGTTAGTATCCCTCATTATGTATTTTATATCTATCTAATTGTCCTCCACTCTTCTATGATACAGGCAATTTTAGAACTTATGCTAGAGTTACCTAATTACCTAGTTATGCATTTTTTGAACACTTCCAGGGATGGTGATTCCACCACTGCCCAGTGAAGCCTGTTCTGATGCCAGCTTCGTTGCCCTTTTCTGGACCCTCTCCAGCACCTCAGTATCTCTCTTTGTTACTCTCTTTGATTTCTATTCCACCTTTCTACTCACTTCCTGAAGACCTAGTTGTGTTATATAATGGATGGGCAGAAGGAAAAATTGCTTCAGCTTGCTCCATTTATTTGCCTGTCAATCTGTGGAATAACTAACTAAATAATTGCATGCTTTCCATTCCTATTAAACTGTACATTTTACTCATGTTTACTTCAATCACATAGAAAACAGAAATAAAGGTAGGCTATATTTTTTTAGTCAAACCGTATATTCAGTAACATTTGCTGTATGGTTTTACTTGACCCATTTATATGTATGGTTGAAAGTCCTAGCTATTTTAGTAGTGTGTTTTTACTGCTTCTTTTCCTTGCTGTAAGAAAAAAAAATCTACTTTGATTCTTTTTAACAAGTAGAGTTACTAAAAAAAAAAAAATTCTTATATATTTCCCATAAAATTATCCTTTTTAATATTCTAATATTATATTTATATTCTAATTATTCTTTTTAATAGACTCAAAAAAAAAAAAGGGTTTTTTATCTCTTTCCCGTAAAAGTTGCTGTGCACATCCTGTTTCTCCTGTTCATGTTTTGTGCTAAAAGGTGTTACTACTGTGTGCAGTCAGATTACAGAAGTGGCAGTTAAGTCGGATGAACTTGGAAATGGACATTCAATGGAAAGGTGCAGGAATATTAGCTAAATCTTTATTTCTCCCTTTTATTTATTTAGCTAGGTTAAAATTAGCTCATTAAACAGTTCTGCTACAAAGAGAAATTTAATAGTTTATTTTAAAATCTTGGGCACTGAAGGACTCACTAGCAGCAACGTTAAGTACTTAATCTGCCATCTCCTTCCCTGTCTCCCCAAAGTAACCAGTACTACCAACACAATCCAAACAATTTGTTACAGGATTTTATTTTGTGTGTGTTTTAACTTTGGTATAATCTAAAAAAAATATCTGAAAACAAATAGCATCAAAAAATAAACCAGTTAGAGAAGCTGAGTGGTGAAGAGATAGGAAGCAAGGATGCTTAAGCAAGTGAAATCTAAAGATGCATATCTCGATACTTAAAGGAAAATCAGAAATTAAAATCAGTAACCTCATGCTTCTTAATTCTATTAGTAAACATATACAAGGCATAAAACCCCAGACACTAAATAATATCCTGCGTGCATGCCCATTTATAGCTGTGATTTTTTTTTTTTATTGTTTTTAATGGAAGATGTTAAGATAGTTCTGAGTTTTATTTTTAAGTATACAGTTGTGTGAATTTCTTACCTCTTGAGCATTTCATTAATTTAATTCCAACTAAAACATTTTTAGGTAGTAGTAAAAAGAATATAGGGTGGAACTCTGCCACTGTTAAGGTTGGGACTGGCATTATTGTGAATAATTACAAAATACTTTTTAGATGATTAATAAGAGAAAGCTGTAGGTGGAAAGTTTAGGTGAACAGATAACAAGGAAAGAAAAACATGGAAAGAAAGGGGAGAGAATGTGGAAGAAGAACATAACTTGTTTTGATTGAAGTTGCTAATGGTAGTAAATAGAGGAAAGTGATTAAAAGAAGGAAGGAAATAACAGAATGAGAATTCACAGGGGTATGCAGGGGGAGTTGCAGTTAGTGAAGTGAAATTTAAAATAACATGCCTCATTTTCCTTCATCATAAATTGATGACTAAATTAAACCCAGTTTCTAGATACAAGGCTCTTTCTTCATAGTCAGAGATGCTAGTAACCTCCTTGTATAATTGCACATTGCATTAGGGAAGGAAGAGAAGTCCTGTTCTGCAAGAATCACAAAACTAAAGCTTGCACTTGCCTCTGTGTCCAGACGTGTCCTCAGTTAAACTGTAAAAAGTGTTTAGGCTGTATTTTGCCTTCCTTCAAATTCATGGCTTATCGTGGACAGCAGATCTCTGTGTCCACAGCCATATTCTAGATGTTAGGACACCGTGCATTTTCTTTCTGTCCTGCTTTCCATGGGGCTAAGCAGCACTGAATATTTTACCTTAGTACATCATGGTGGTGCTAATAGTCTTTGATCAATGGAAGATGAGCAGAGACCTTGTGCACTCAAAGCTATGGCTTCTGCTGCTTGGCTGATGTGACAGAATCTCATCCTACATCTGTCCAGCTCTGATCTTCAAAGTCTGCTCTTCATAGACATCCATGTTTCAAGGATTTTGTGGTCTTCTATGTGATTATGGAAAAATTGTAAATTAAGTTTGGACAGTTTGCTTTTATAAATACAAGTTTTTTTTCTTTTTTTGTCGGTGTTTCTTTTTTCTTTTTTTTTTTTTTTTTTTAGAAAGAATCATAGTTTCCTTGAAGAGAGAAGATACTGTACTTAAAAAGTTATATTTAAAAATATTGAAAAAGGTATATTTGAATCGGAATGAACTTTTCACAAAAGGTTCTGGGGTCAGATTTCAATTTATTAAGCGGACCAATGTTTTTTATATTGTATCACTTATCTTTTGATATGGGATTAAGGGAAATGTCAAATATGGTTTATAACAGGGATTCTGAGAGATTGACATAATGAAATTATTTTATTCATGAGGAACGGTTTTAGAAGTTAATTCCTGGAAGGAAGAAATGGGGCTAAATTAGGATCTGGAAAAGAGTAATATGAAGGGAAAGAGTAAGGTTCTTCTGCATTCTCTAATAGAGTCTGCCGTACTTTACACATAGAAAGTGCAGGTGGTGGTTCTAAGAAAATACCTTGGAAAATCAATTGTTCTTTGAAAAATACCAAGTTTAATTGTGATGCTTTATATACTCTCCAATCCATTTTTGAAAAATTATTCCAAAAAGAAATTAACCCTGGGAAGTGAATGCAAATACTGTTGTTAACTGGTAGTAACACTTCCACACATGGAATACCATTAACCATTATAGTGATGAAGTACATGCTGGAATATGTCTTATTGTAGCACAGCAGCCTTAGACCTGTAATTGATAATGAGTTAAAAAATATTAAATTTAATCTAACTTACTGCCATGAAAAATACTAAAAAAATATAGCAGCTGCAACATTTATCTGAATTATGTTGGAAATTTTTCTTGCAAATGTTGCCCTTTGAGGCAACATATTTTAGTCTTGTGTGTGTTTGTAGGATTTTTTTTCCCTTTCAAAAAGATCTAGGTTTCTCATTAAAAATGTTTTCCTTGTTTACTCTCTGACAATGTACCAGGAGATATTTGATATGTTCATAGGCTATGTAATACTAGCTAGCTATCTTTTCTCTTAACGTATCTTTAAAAATGAGATAGCATGAACAAGGATCTTAAAGTAAGTACTTCAGTTATTTTTCAGATCATAAGATATATCTTCAAGATAATTATAATTGAAGTGTTCAGTGCTCCACCAAAGGTCATCTTACAATCATTTTGTCAATTAAGACTTACCAAAACTTTTAAATCATTTTTATTTCAGTGTTGGAAAATAATCTAATTATTGAAATCATGTGTAGGTATAAATTTGTATTTGAATATACATAAGGTCTAAATCAAATTTAAACTGGTAAATACATATAATTCTTTTGGCTTGAAGCTTCCCAACACAAGTGAAAATGAAATATCCTTTTCCCACTGCAAAGTTTTCTGTCATTTCAGTCCTATCAAAGAGAAATGGAACTTGCTATTAATATAGCAACTGACTTATTAACCTTATGTGTGTGTATTAGCAAGTACTATCAGTGAACTTCCAGTCTTGCAGGACAGAAATCATTCAACAGAGTCCAAGTTTTCAATTCACATAACAAATCTTTTTGTTCCTTCTGTAGATTATATTTGCAGTACACAAGTGGTGTATATACAGTAAAAAAAACCTTGTTTAATGTTTCAGTTAGTACTTTTTTCATTCACGTGTATGTGTCCAGTTCTTTATAGAACAAGAATCGTAATTATTTGGTTTTACAGATTCCTAAATTCCAAATGTACTTTGTATTTAAAGCCATGTTGACATTTTTGATGGATAGTTTAATGGTCAAAACAGAGCAATCAGAGTGTGGGTCTGCTTTATAAAACTGGAAAGGAAATGTGAGTTTTGTATTAAAAAAGAAAAAAACCCAAACCAACCAAACAATAGACAAGCCACCAATCCAAAACAGAACTCCAACCCAGTTGATTTCAGCAGTAATTTGACCATGTTACCCTTAGTAGTAATCCTTAAGAACAATCCGCTTTTCATTTTAAATTGGCTTTTTAAATTCCCAGAACAGATCTCCATTCCTTGTCCCATTCTAATGTCTACTGTGATACCTGTTGTCCTGACACTATTTTAAAAAAATAGAATAAACCAGTTTTCTTACCACAAACTAAACTTTTCTGTAATTATCTCCTCCCTAGATTTGCTTCAAGATAATTCACAGAATTTATTCAAAGACTTTCCTATAAAAACAGATGTGACTAGTTTCAGATTTTAAATTTGTTCAATTTACAGTTAATCTTGAATATTAAAATTATACTGTGTTATTGGATTGAAAATGGCAATTTTCAGCAAGTAGTCTATTAAACCATTGCATTATTTCTGTAATGCTGTCGCCTTACAGGAGTCAAATATAGTTCATTAGGATGTTTAGATGACTTGTGTGACATGGTTTAGTGTGAGACGTCCCTGCCCATGGCAAGGGGCTGGAACTAGATGATCTTAAGGTCCCTTCTAACCCTAACTGTTCTATGATTCTATAATTTTCAGGTTGTCTTCACATACTGTGCTAATCCTTTACTAATAGGTGTTTTACTGTTGATTAGAAATGCTTTTTACCAAAGGGGGAGTTTATTTAGCCCTAAAATTAATTATAAATGCTTTGCTTTCTAAAATATAGTGTCAATTTCAAACTATCAAAGTTAGCTCAGCTAACTATATAATTATCCTTCAAAAACAGAAAAATAATTTTTTGTTTTCATGCCTTTTATTATCCAGAAACTTTATAAAGTAAAAGATGAAAAATCTGTCTACATCTGATATAAAATATGTTTTCTTTTCATCTTGATTCTCCCCTTTTCTTGCCTTTCCTGAATACTTTAAGGGACTGCACAGTGGTTTCTGGATAGGAGATGATTTTACTGTAAATTTCAAACTCCATTTTTCTTAAACGAATGTTTCAGACACATGATGTCTAACAAAAGTATGCAAGACAGTCTTTATTTAGAAGGATCTTTCAACAATTTCTATGTAACTTGCCAAATTACCAATTTAGCTTTAGAATTACATATTTAGACCTGTATAATTTTAGATATCCTAATCTGAAATTATTACAAGATGACTGTTCATATGTATACATTATTCCTTCACTTCAGAGACAAGCACTCCTGAAACCTCGTAAATTCCCGCCAGAGCTGAAGTATGTGGATTACAGTGTAGAAGTGAGTACGCAAGAATTCTTTGAGGTTCCTAAGAAGCTCTCTATTCCAGTACTGGGATCAGGCAGAGTTAATTTGAAAGTTCTATCAGCAAAAGACCTTTCACCTCAGAAAACAGGTAAGAATAGTCTTATATATGATGAATTTGTGGGTTGGTTTTTTTTTGTTTTCTTTTCACTAAGATAATCTGTGTTATTAAGGTTTTCCTGAATAGAATCAGAAAATTATCTTCCTCTCCATTCTACTATTTATCAAATCGTCAACCTTGTCTTTGTCATCATTACTGAAGTTCTCTTTTATTAGCTCAAAATAGTGCTTTTTACTTGCTCCTGGTTTTCTCAAAGGCACATAACCACAGGAGACTTGCTCTATAAGATCAATTAATTTGGTTTGTTTATCTGAGAGATCTTAAATTTGTGCTTATTTCTCACATCCTTTTCTCATCCAGCAGTGATTGTGCTCAAACTGCACCATTTATACCACATATTGTTTCTTGTTTGCTTCTCCTTAGTCAGCCAGAGGGAGGTGTCAGCTGATTGTATGCTGTGTTCTCTTTGTCCCTCATCAATGAGAAGTTGTACACTAGCCTTCAGATCAATCTTGTCAACTTTAGTCAGTCTCTGTTGCCTCAAATTTTTCTAGTATCTTAAATTTGATTCTGAAATATTAATTGCTTTCTTTTTTTCTTGGCTTTCAATTTGATCCCTTCTTTGCCGGTTGATTTTATATATATATTTTTAAAATCTTAATTTAAACTTATCAAACCCTCTAGGTTGCATTTCTTAAAAAAAAAAATGAGCAGCTGAGGCAACTGGGGTGGTTTAGCCTGGAGAAAAGGAGGCTTGGGGGGGACTTTATTGGTCTCCCCAGGTACCTGAAAGGAGGTTGTAGTGAGCTGTGTGTTGCTCTCTTCTGCCAAGTAACAAGCAGTAGAATGAGTAAATGGTCTCAAGTTGCATCAGGAGAAGTTTAGATTGAATATCAGGAGAAAAATTATTCACCAACAGGATTGCCAAGCATTGGAACAGGCTGCCCAGGGAAATCGTGGAGTCAGCATCCCTGGACATATTTAAAAGAGATATAGATGTGGTGCTTAGGGACATGATTTAGTAGTGTTCTTGGCAGTGCTCAGTTGACAGTTGGGCTCAATGATCTGAAGGCTCTTTTCTAGCCTGGATGATTCTATGTAAAATTTATGTTAATATTTACCTGTTAAGGTATCTGTACATGGTTATGTCACAGCTAACGTAACGTTCCACAGGTACTAGATGACACAAACAATTTGGAGGCTTGTACTTAAAATATAAATAGCAGTTTTCTTGGCAAATTTAATAGTCTTGAATTCTAGTCAGTCCATCCGTACTTTCATTTCATCACTTCTTGATCAGTAAAGTCCTTCTGTATCTTTCTGCAGTTCACTTCATAGAATCATAGAATGGTTAGGGGTTAGAAGGGGTCATTTAGCTCTAACTTCCCTTTCACTAGACCAGGTTGCTCAAAGCTCCATCCATTTCTCTACCTGTCACTGGAACCAATCATGTGCTTTCATGGTGCATGTTTGTCTTCAGAATTGGTGTATCCCTTGTGGTTTTTGTTTCTTTTCTGCAATAAAAATGAGGAATCTCTTGATTATTTCTGGCAAGTCTTTTTACTACAGATTCATTCTACTTGATTAGAGTATCTGTGCTGTAAAACATTTTAAGGTGTCACTAGGCATGTTTTTAGAAAGATGAAAATAGTTACTGCAGTATTAGAAGCAAGACTAGCCTAATGAGTGACTACAGGGCTAGCAGTGAGTAGAAGCTGAAGAATAGATGTAACACAGGTTGATAGCTGAAACATTTCTTGAATTACAAGATATTTAAATCCTAGTTAAAATCCTTATGTTGTCAAGTTAAAAAATAATTGCTTGTGTTTGTAATAATTAATTTAGAAGTGAACTAAAACTGGTCATAATTGCACAGGGGATTCTTTGGATTGCTCTGTAGAAGAGGGGAATACCAGCTAGGGGAGAGAGCAAAATCTGTAGGTGTAAATCTGATAAGGACATAATAAGATCTCTGTCGTGATCTCAGAACAAAAATTGTTAACTGGCCATATGGCAGGTCACTGTTGCTTAGCAACTTCTAAAATTATCTTTAAAGTTGAAATGTGAATGAACTTATCTGAAATTTTTAGAATATTAATTGCTAAAATGTAGTGAAGAAACCACATTATAGTAAGGGATTTACTGCTGGTTCATGCTGCTTCTTTATCCAGCAAAGGAAATTATAAAAGTGAAAGAGGGAAGTAACCAATGGAAACTCAGAAACGAAATCATTCTACAGTGAACACAATCTTTTTGATACTTATTTTTTCTTACTAAGGCACTTAAATAGTTACATGAGGGAGCAGAAAAGTCAAGATGATGCAAAAAAACCTAAATGGGGCTTTGGTAGTGAATTCAGAGAGGTGGTGAGTTAAAGAATAGCTAATAAGAAAAGCTGAGATAAGCAGCTGAAAGCATGAAAGCAAAGATGTGTTCAGTACAAAGACAGTCCCGGCTGATTCAGGGTATTTATTGTGCTAATGAGGAAAAAGGAAAATATTAGATTTTCTAAAGGCTCTTAGAAAATCTAATATTGTGACAGAAGTCCCCAGGTGGTGTTCCTGTAGATGGAGGCAAAACATTGGTCTCATCTGAAAATTTTAACTTTATTATCTGAAGAAAAAGCAGTATTTTAACCACGGTGGTAGCTTTACTTAGGGTGGGAATAGCTGCTTCTCTGAAGAAATGACAGAGTGATTAGATTTATGAAGAAAAACAAAGGTGGAACCAAGCTAACTAAAATCAATCCCTGGATCAGAATTTTAGTCTGCAATAGCAGGAAAATTGTCTAGCCAATATTTTAAGAACTCTGCCAAAAGGGAATTAGAAGATAAAAATCAATGCCATTCAACACATTTTCCTATAAAATAGTTTTTGTTAAATAACCTTACTACATTTTTGGCAATATTTCAGATCTTAATACAGAAAAAGAACACAAGATGTTTACTTCTGATGTGACATCTTGATTCAAACCCAAACTATATACTCTTATAGAAATAAACTAATGTACTGGTTGTATTGAAAAGTTAGCAAATTTTGATAATTTGTTATTGCAGAGTCATCAGAAAGTGTGCCCTCAGAAATGAGTACTTGCTGGACAGTGTCAAGTACTTTCCATTAGTAATATGGAAGATTATATAAAGTGTATGTAGAGGTAGCAATGACCCAGATTTTGTGAAAGAATAGTTGCTTGGAAATGCTACATAGTTATAAACTATGTATTTTAGTATAACCAAAAGTAGTATATGTGGAACAGAGTTTGCATGCTAGTTAAGAGTCTTGTTTTGCGCATGGTTTAAGCCCAGCTGGCAACCCAGAACCATGCAGCTGCTTGCTCCTTCCTCATGTCCTCCCCCAGCTCCCGGAGGCATGTGGAGGACAATAGAAAGAATGTAACTCCCACGGGATGAGATAAGAACAGTCCAGCAACTAAGGTATAACACAAACCACTACTGCTACGGCCAATAATAATAATGATAAGGGAAATAACAAGGGAAGAGAATGCAAATGCTCACCATCCGGTGAACGATACCCAGCCCGACCTGAGCAGTGATCTGGGCTTTCCACGTAACTGCCCCTAGTTTATATACTGGGCATGGTATGCTGTGCTATGGAATGTGGTATGGAACCTCTTTGACTAGTTTGGGTCAGGTGTCCTCTCTGCTACCTCCTGGCTTCCCCTCCTCTCTGGCAGAGCAGGAGACTCAGGAAGTCCTTGGTCAGGCGAAACATTACTGAGCAACAACTAAAAACATCAATGTAATCAGTGCTGTTCCCAGGCCAAAAGTCAAAACCACAGCACTGCACCAGCTACTAAGAAGGAGAAAAATGACTGCTACTGCTGTACTCAGGACAGTGACTCAGTTCTGTAGAATAGTTCGATAACATTCACATGTCTAGTTTGGGGGTTTACCTCTTGTATTACTACTTGAATGCAATCCTCCACTGACTACTATCTAATTCCACATTCTTGAAAGCTCAACATAGTGTTTTGATCTGAATTTGGTTTAAACTGTCTGGACAGAGCAGGTTTTCCCTGCAGTGCTCATGAAACATGAATAAGTGTTTCAGTTCTGTAGAGTAGTTTTAAAACCCTCATTTAAGTATCATGTAAGAAGAACATGGAGCTAGGAGAGGATCTGGTTCAAGACCATCTTAAGAACCTGAACATGCACAAGTCCATGGGACCTGATGAAATCCATCTACAAGTCCTGAAGGAGCTGGCAAATGAAGTTGCTAATCCACTGCCCATCAGATTTGAAAAATCATGGCAGGCAGGTGAAGTTCCCAGTGACTGGAAGAAGGGAAATATAACCCCCATTTTCAAGAAGGGGAAAATGGATGACCCAGGCTATTACAGACCAGTCACTCTCACCTCTGTGCCTGGCAAAATCTTGGAGCAGATTCTCCTGGAAGGCATGCTAAGGCACATGAAAAACAACAAGGTGCTTGGTGACAGCCAGCATGGCTTCACTAAGGGGAAATCCTGCCTGACCAATTTGCTGGCCTTCTATGATAGGGCTATGGAACTGATGGACAGGGGTAGAGCAGTTGATGTCATCTACCTGGACTTGTGTAAAGCGTTCGACACTGTCCCACATGACATTCTGGTCTCTAAATTGGAGAGACATCAATTTGATGGATGGACCACTGGGTGGATAAAGAACTGGCTGGATGGCCGCACTCAAAGAGTTGTGGTCAATGGCTCAATGTCCAGCTGGAGACCAGTAATGTGTGGTGTCCCTCAGGGATCGGTGTTGGGACCGGTCTTGTTCAACATCTTTGTCGCTGACATGGACAGCGGGATTGAGTGCGCCCTCAGCAAGTTTGCCGATGACACCAAGCTGTGTGGTTTGGCTGATACACTGTGTCCTGGGTTCAGCAGTAGCAGTCATTTTTCTCTTTCTTTGTAGCTGGTGCAGTGCTGTGTTTTGACTTTCAGCTGGGAACAGAGCTGGAAAACAATGATGTTTTGGTTTGGCCAAGGACTTTGTGAGTCTCATGCTCTGCCAGGGAGGAGGGAAGCCGGG